GCTGGCTGGTTTTCCGGGCGGTTTGTCGGACACGGGGGGGGGGATTTGGTTTGAAAATTCCCTACAACCTACGTTCTAAGCCTAGCTTGGATTAAAATCATAACACAAAAGAGTTCATATCCCGCCGCTGCCACCAATGTAACGTGTCTGGGTGCGGTCAAGGGCTTTTCAGGGCGGATTTGCTAGGGAAAATTAGGTCGGGTGCTTGTGACAAATAGCTACGGACGTGGACGGCACACAGACAGACAAATGGCAAAGTAAAATAAACACGGACACAGATGTTGGGTTCAGGAACAATTCTTCTTGTGATCGATATAACTTTATTCCACTTTATTCCACTTACATCTTTCCTGTCAAATAAGTTGCACGAGTCACTAGTCTGCCGCACAAGCTGTCCGAATCGTTAGCACGATCCTCTCAGTTCGACGCCCAGCTGGAAAGTGAGCGCGCTACTAAAAGCCCGCGAAAAACCTGGCTTGTTGCCCAGTAACACAAGTACAACGCGCGTGTCACGTACGCAGCGCGCAGTGCAGACGTGACCCGGCCGTGTTCGTTACACTATGTTAGGTGAAATATATGGTGTATTGTTATTAAAATTAGTGTTTAAAACTGTTTTTAATAAAATATGGTATTGTGTAAGCAAATTTAGTGAAAGCAGCGATCTTGGCTGAAATTACTGGTACCATGCTGGTAAAGTTACAGTGTTAGATATATTAGATGAAATGTTTGGAACTTAAATATCAGTACACATAGACCTAATGCGTTAGGGCGGAGTCAGAGGGCAAAGGTTTCGTATCACGGGCATAGGCATGAGCAAACACTTTGTGAATTGTTGTAAATACATTAATATAACAATGAACAACCTCTGCAATACATGCAACGCAAAATGTTTATTGTTTGTCAAGTCGGTTGAAAACAATTCGTTTAGATGTAATTTGGATTAGATTATAAATCCCAATGTTGAGCCAGACATTTTCTAATGTTCACGATGTCTGAAAATATTTTTTTAGATTGAGGTAAACTTACCGTGGTTCTACTAATTTACTATGTAGAGACATATATGTGTTGTATTGCACCTTACACTGCACAAACTTGTTTGAAAAAATCAATGATTGATCCAGGTTCTTGACTGGAAAAATATATATATTGGGATTTTGTTATAACCTAACTCGAAACATGTTTGTTATTAGACTAAGAAAATATGTTTTAATTGGAGTGAAAAAAAGCCCAATCTATATTCATTAAACAAAAAACTGTGTCTGGATCCCTCAATGATTGGCGTATATTTAAGAATAATTTTAATATTTAAGACTTAAATTATTGCACTGATTACATTGCAAACTGTTGATAATTTGCAGAGCACAAATATTTTATCAGACACGATGTCACTAACTCATGCTTGCTGTAAATTAATTGCAATTTCAATACAATAACATTTAGTTCCATCAAAAGCAAGGTAAAAGAATAACAATAACCATGAGAACGATAATTGATCTATCAGAACACAAGTAATTGGTGATTTGTGAATTCATAAAAAACCCAGAATATGTAGTGTCATGTTCAAGTCTTTAGCCAACTGTAGCACGATGAGGAATCAATAAATGTTTAGTTGATACCGGTCTGGTATATTTGTTTCAACATTTTGTCCATTTTCAGTTGTTAACATTCTGCCTTTAGGAAGTCTACCTAGGATGTCCCGCCTACATCACCAGCCTAGCTCCGCCCATAAGGACGTCGTATTGGAAGAAATCAGACATCAGATTTATAATTGTACCAAATAACATGAACTATTCCTCACATTGTTTTGGGTGCCATTGGGTGGGGGGGGGGGGGCGACGGATTTTTTTTCGGGGTACGTAGGGGGCTGTACGCAGCTGCAGACTGCCTAATACCTTATTTACCAAAGACAGTAAAAATTCTAACAGAGACAACATCATACCATTGCCTTTGCAATCTGTACTCTTATCATGATGTGACAATCTTGTAACTTAAGAGCAAGCAGAAACTGGAGTTTAATATCATTGATGCAATTAACAATAGCTTGGTAGAGTGTGTGTAGCCGCATTTCTAGCAGGACGAAAAAAAAAATTAGCAAATCGATCTAATATGTCAAAGAATAACTGCGCCATCTATGCTTTATCGATATTAAAATTAGGGCCTATATGAGATGGAAACTGCACGACTCCTATCCCTTTTGTCTTGTGACCATGGACTTTCAATTGGACTCACGTTTAATAGCTCCACGTTCCAATTAATGGCAATAGACCAAGGACAGACGTGTAGACGGTGCATTCAATGACATTGATTTGTAACTAGTTCCAGTCAACTGAACTTCATTTCAATTACCAGCCTCAAGCGTGCTTACAATTAATTGCAGGGAGTTAAGAAAATTGGACTCAATATTAATATTAATTTATTAGGGTATTTTATGGTGATGCTCGAACACGATTTCGAGCATGTGACCAGAATCAACCAATCACTCATTCCCACGTCCATTTGCAAGATCGTACGACCGTGGTATCTACTCATTACTATACAGTAATAAGAACACTTCAGTGTTGCGCATCAATTGGACTCCTTTTGCGGAAAAACTCAGTCGTGACATGGCATCTACAGCAATTCTCTGTATACTCGTATACCACGTGGTTTTCTGCAAGATGATTACATTTTCAGTAACCCAAGACTAGACCTAGTTACATCTGCTGAACAGAAAAATAATTTCGGGATGGAAACTTCATGTCTCTATGACCCTGGCAGAGAGATTCTCATCATAAGTTTAGTTATCATGACAGTTCTAGTTCTGGTTTGTGGATTCCAAGGAGATCACTGTGGAAACCGCAAACACATTTTTATTGCTGCAGAAAATCGTGCACTTCAGACTTCTACACTAAGAGAGGGACATGCCAATAGCTCCTTATGTTATTTGTTGAAAGATGGAATGTATTATTTAACTCGACTTCGCCTAGTTGAATGGAACAATCAATCTTTGAACTTATCAAAATATTCTTACCATTCCACTCATAAACATTTGTATACCAATCAATTCCAGTTCATTGAACTGAATTCACTTGTGTATCGTACACAACATTTCCAGCGCAGCAACCCAACACAATATCAACGAGACTGTCATATAAACACTTTGCTTTCGGAGATTAGGAATTGTTCAACTGGAAACATGTGACATCCAATCAGATATCCCCACATCCACAGCAGTATCCTGTAACGTGCATACAGTTTATATTTTCGAGCCTTAACTGAAACCACTAGTACACCGGTGATGCATGGTGGATTGTGAAAGATTCCTCCAGTTTTCAGAACTTCATGTTCTCACGAACAAAAAGCCATATCAAATAGACTGGGGGTTTTTGGGTTGATATTGTGTTTGCAGTTGGATGCAATAATAGGTATTACGTTGGTAAAATTAGTGTTTACTGCTAAGCTGCAATAAATACTTGGTACTTTGTGGTTAGCATTTAAACCATGTTTTAGATGAAGTAATTGGTTATAGTTTGGTAATATACTTAAGACACTGGTTAATAACACTGGTTTGAGACAATAATATAATAATAGTTCATGCTTGACATCGCACAGGTGCAATGTTGGATATTGAAAGACCTTAGTTATCGTGCATTATATTATACTTGAAGTAATCATAACAAAGCTATTCATGAAAACTGAACCTCGAGGAAATATAATATGAGAAATTATATTTTGATGACAGACTCATCATTAAAATGTCAAAGGCTGTTCTATGACAATCAAACAATTTGGAAAACAGGATCAAAGTTTTTAATGTTGAATAAAGGATTTGAATTTCTTTAATTGTGAAGTTTTCATCAGGATTTCTTTAAAAGTAGGAGGGGCAGGAAAACTGATCGATAATTAAACTCTGTAAAAGCAAATCCTTGTTTTTAAATAAAAAATGCCCTTTATCAGATGAAAACGAAAGACAGTGGTACAAGTTTAACTATGAAAAAGTTTTCAAAAAATTAGTTTACGTGTTGATACAGACCTACATTGCATATAAACACAACACAGAAGAATGGCATTTATAAAATAATGAAAAAAAAAACCACGCAAACAATTCAGACAAATGGGTGAAATGTTGGTGAAACTAGTGTGTGCAGCCATAGTGGCGAAATTCATTGGTACTTTGTTGGTACAATCAGTGTGGGGCTTGCAAAAAGGTATTGTCTTAGTAAATGCAGTGCATGTAGCTGTGTTGAGTAATAAGTTTGGTAAAATTGTGCAAATAAAGCGTATCACTATTGATGGAGCAATCGATACACATTACGATGGTACAATACGTCTATGCAGAGAATTTGGATGCATTTGTAGTTTTGTTTTGAAAAAGTGTTTTCTACCACTCTTGATGAAATAATTTATGATGTTGGAACAATGCATTTTGCTGTATTGGGGAATATCCTTGGATATTATTGACGATAAATATCATAAAGAAAGACATAAAATACTCCATTCTGCCAATTTAACAAATTACACTGGAAACTGCGTGACTACTGTCTCGTTTGCCTATTATTTCATATTATGTCTTCAAACTGATGATAACAGGCCGCGGAATAGGTACGTGACGCATTCAATGCTATTTATATCCAATAAGTTCCAGTCAAGTGCACCACTTTTGAAAGGACATGCAATTGAGGAGAGCACTTAGCATAAAATATTGATTGAAAGAGTCGAGTAGGAAACCTGCCATTCACTGGGTCGAAGAGCTTTAAACATGTGACCAGAAACAACCAATCACCCCTTCCCACGTCCATCGGCGATACTGCTGTCTCTGCTTGTCACTTCAGAAAATTGAGCAATTTTACCACACTCTACCATTTGACATCTTACACTGATATCGACTAAACCTTTTTGTCTCGGAAATTGACATACAACAATTCTGAGCATGTTTGTGTATCCCGAGATGTATTAAGTCTTGTTAAAGTGTCAGAACGCCAAATGGTTCAATTTTCTAATCTGATCGAAATCATATCGATATGGAAAAGCCATGTCGTTCATGTCTAAACGGCCCTAGCAACAAGATTCTAATGATCGTGATGATCTTCACTTTTCTCGTTCATGTGGATGCTTTCCAACGGGATCGCTGTGGCAACGTGAAACAAACATTTTTTTCAGCAGACAATCGTGCACTTCAGACTTCTACATTAAGAGAGGAACAGTTCAAGTCTGCTGTCCGCTGTGTTAGCTACTGTCATGCTGATAACAACTGTCGATCTGTGAATTATCATAGACCAGATCAACTTTGTCAAATGAACAATCTGACAAGGTTGCAAAATCCCAATGATTTCATTACACACTACGGCAGTGTGTACATTGATAATGATGCAGACACATCTCTCTTCTCTGTGCCTCAGTTCAGAGGTTGTGATGAGGTCCTTCAAGCTGGTCATAATGTGAGTGGTATCTACACGATATTCCCAGCTGGATTCAATGATGGGCTACAAGTCTACTGTGACATGGAGACTGATGGAGGGGGATGGATCGTCATTCAGAGGCGTCAAGATGGCAGCGTGGACTTCAACCGCAACTGGGCTGACTACCAGGTTGGCTTTGGCGGCTTGTCTGGTGAGTTCTGGCTTGGGAATGACAACCTACGCAGCCTGACTGAGACTGAAGGTAAGTGGCAACTACGAATAGACTTAGAGGACCGGGAGAATAACACGGCCTGGGCTGAATATGACGACTTTCAGATTCATGGAGACAACTACACACTCAGAGTCAACTCGTGCAATATTTACAGCACTGCCGGAGACTCACTCACATACCACAATGGAATGATGTTTTCAACAAAAGACAAGGACAATGATACAAATAGAATGAAGTTCTGTGCCAAATTGCGTGAAGGTGCGTGGTGGTATAAAAATTGTTATGAATCTAATTTGAATGGACGATTTCGGCCAGGAACCACTAGGGATGGTATAGTATGGAAATCGTGGAGGAAAGATTACTATTATCTGAAAGGCTGTTCGATGAAAATCAAACATTTTGAAAAACTAGAAAATAAGGGTGTTAAAAATAAAGAAATTTGATTTGTATCCATTGACAAGTTCCATGGGGGCAGTAAAGCTGTTATTGGTGATCGATATTTGGCAAGACATATTTTTTACAGGAAATGACAAGATTTTTAATTGAGGGTATATACAAATGACAAGAGAGTTGTGGTACGTTTCTTTTCACAAAATGCGGACACTGAATATATGATAGCATTTTGACAAAATATAGTTAGTATTTGGTAGGTATAAAGTGAGAAAGAAAATAATGTAAATATCAATTCCCCTCCCGGAGATGGAAGTTTAGGCTACTAAGTACTACGTTGGTATTGGTAAAATTACTGTTTGATGCTGTACCTCATGAAATAATTTGTTTGTTGAGAAAAGGATATGCACCTGTGTTATTGTCACTATGTTGGTACAATTAATATATGTAGTGAGCGCGGAGTAGTAGCGCCGTGGGGTTTGAGTCTCGTTGGGGGCGAGTTAACATACACACACAGCGGAGATGAAGTTTCACCAGAGAATCACTGATTATTTATTCATTCATTTGTTTATTCGTCTCCATTGGTTTCTAAGAGTCTAAGGGAATGAGGTGGCCAGTCGCTGCACCAGGCTAAGCACGGCAAACAGTATCTTTCATCATGATTTCCAGCGGTATTCGGGGGAATTATCTTTCTATTTTCCCCAATTCGGAGGCCATTTCGCTCGTCTCTCCCCGTGACTGACACAGATTTCTATCCTTCTCGTTTGTCACTAGTTCCAGAGCACTGCCCCGCGAAGCCTGTTTACCGCTGTCTGGGTTACCTCTCCCTTCTCTTAGAGTAATCAGCATTTGTGTCACTCTAAAGATCCTTAGTAATATTCAAAGAGTATACTTAACAACCACATTATGTAAGATACAGTCTTTTATAAGCACCAAACAATAATTAGTGAGGCCCTATATTATCTTACACGACACCGAATGCCAGTCTTGGCAGACATATCCCTGCGCTGCATGGATACACGTTCTATTTTTAGAATATTGTGCACACACCTGGGCAGGCCAGCTTATTGGCAATTTAACGGTGAGTAGGCGAGCGCCCTCTGTTCGCCAAATTTGTGAATGAGCAACAACAAATCACTATCATAAATCATTTCTCCACATATATATCTGTGTTGGATGAAATGACGGACATATACTATGCTGATATTGCATTAGATTATACAACTTTTTGTATTTAAATAATTGGTAAAATTTTAAAGAAGAAATGTATGCGCTTGTGTTGAAAATGAATCAATTGGTACCATGTTGATACAATCGGTCAATGTAGATAATTTGAAAGAATTGTTGGTGCCTTTTAAAGAAACTAGTGTATGCGGTCATGAAAAGTTGTGTTAGTGGTCATGAGAAATGTAATACATGTAATTAGTGATGTTGGAATAATTCTTTCTAAAAAGAAATACAACGAATTTCCTTTTTTTCGTCAATTTAATTCTTTATTTCATATTAAATAAAGGAATAACCCTTAAAAGGAAAAAAACAGTGATTTCTACATTTCACCAACATTTTTAGTTTGATATCTAGTTCCAACATTATGAGATATTATAATTCAAAGGTCATGTTCGTTTAGAGGCATTGACAAAATATGGAGCTTGTCCAAGAGACCTCATATTCATTGATTTCAATGCCTACACATGATGACGTCAGAATGAGACTTTAATTAATTCCAATCATTTCCAGTTCATTAGAAATCCACGTCTGGTTGGTACAAATATTTTTAGAGTAGCAACTGACCACAAAAACAATAGGGGTGCCATATAAACACTTTTCTTTTTAAGATGATGAAGTTCCTATCAGGAACATCTGACCATGAACATCCAATCAGCTTTCCCCACATCCACCATAATTAATTGACATGCTCTAAATGATTATAAGATGGAATTTTTGCATCGGTGCGATATAAATCAAATTAGGTTTTGCCCTTCACCGACGTTTGAACACTGTATACTCAGTGTGTTACCTCCTGCGTGAAAGTTGGAAAAAAATCACTCGGGTGGGACTCCAACCCACGACCTCCTGCTGTCTAGTGCAGATGTCTTACCACTCGACCACCGAGCTAACGGGATCGGTTGGTCGGTTCGAATCTAATGTATATAGCAGCAGGTACCGCATAATCTATTATAATATGGAATGTTGCGTCGGGGTGATATAAATCACTGAATAAGGCAGTAAATGGAGCAATCCTGAGCTGTTTTATATTGTTTGGTGATAACTTTTACTTGATATCTTGTTTGAAAAAAAACCCTGTAGCTGTGTAGCAAGAAATAATGCATGCATATTTGTACTATGAATATATTAAGTATGCGAAGCTGTGTTGGACTATGTTATATATTGGTCATTTTTTGGTGTTTACCGTTCTACTGAATGTACTAATAGGTTGCGATTTTTAAATTAAATGTGCACCTTTGCAGGATAAGGTTTATGCAGATTAATTTTAGGAAAAGTAGATTATTAGTGATATTAATATGTGTAGATGTTTTTAAAAAGAATTTTAACAAATGATATGGACATTAGATAATGTAACTGAGTAAGATATAAGGCTGTACAATTTCGAATAATTTAGTATCGATTACTCGAAACTGCGTGTAACCGAATATTTGGATTTTCAAAACTTCCGGCTGCAACTGCGGGCTGCGCCGGTAAAAAGTTGCACAAAGAGGGCGCCAATTAATATTTGCGTGCGGCAATCGAGTGCTTTGCAGTTAGTATTATACATGTACAGGGTGAGTAGAAAAAAAGAAACCCAAATGTCGGGACTATTGTTTTAGTAAAGTTCTGCATGAAGCACTTTCAAAATGTAGGATATGAAAGCCCAATTCATAAGCTATCAGTTAGTACAAGAATCATTCAAATCACTTATGTACTTTTCAAGTTACGGAATTTTAAACACAACCACCGTTTTAAAGTTCTGTTCACGGATCACACAAAAAGGGTGCGTTCTATCAGCAAAATGAAAACAATTCACACACATCCCTATGTGATTTGTTTTCGTTTTGCTGAAAAAAACCATTTACCTTTTTGTGATCCGTGGACAGATTTTTCAAGCGGTGCTTGTGTTTAACATTCCGCAACTTGAAAAGGACATAAGTGATTTGAATGATTCTTGTACTAACCAACAGTGGTCCCGACATTTGGGTTTCGTTTTTTACTCACCCTGTATAACTGTAAAGGGTTAAAACCTCATAACAGGAAGTGAACAATGAACCACCGTCAACCAAAAGGTTCCCGTCATCAACAAAAAGTGGCACCTGACAATAAAACACCGCAACTTCACGATAAAATAGCATCACAGTCGTGTGTGTATTTAAAACTATTAATTTATTTGAAGAAACAAAAACACACATTATATCAATTAAAAAAAACCTGAATTATACTACTTTATATTAGTAAATGGTTGGTACTATGTTGCTAATATTACTGAGGGAAACTATATCTAGAGTGGCTTTGTCATATTGCTTTAGTGGTACTTTGTAAAAAGCAGTAAGCATGTACCTTATGCGTTTGACAGACAGAGAGAACGAGGGCTAGGATGTTTGTGTTGCTGAAATAGGCATTAGCAAACCCTTCTGAATTATTGTAACTGAATAAAAAAAAAAAAACCTAGAAGACTGTCTTAGATGCCTGCAATGCATAAGGTATATTATTTGTTAATGCAGATTTAAAAAGTCTTTGACAAGTAATTTTGCATGAGAGTATAGCCAATTTATAAGCCAGATGGTTTCTAATGTTTTCAATGTCTGAATGTATTGTAACGGACAGTTGTATAGCCTTTTGTTGCCATGTTAATCTGTTGTAAGCCGCCGGCGGTGCTGAGGGCCGCCGGCGGAGGGCCTCCGGCGGAGTGCCCTCACCTGTTTCTTTTTTGCTGGGCGTGCACCGGAAATTTGGTTCTATTTAGGGATGCTTGTGGTTTGGCGCGCGCGGGAGGGGATTTGGCAAAGTGCCTTGGCGGCCTGTGGATTGTTATACATTGTGATACATTGCTATCTGTAGTGTGTTTTGAAAGAGCACAAGTGTAACGTTGTAGTTGTTGTTGTTTTGACAGTTTCGCGGAAGGTTATCCGCTGAGTTTTGTTGATAAAATAAAAAGTTTTCTTGTTGGAAATCCTGTGTCCGCTCCCCTTTTCCGTTGTTACCGGTCTTGAGGGACAAGAACCCCTGGTCCACGCTACAGTATTATCTTAAATTGAAGTCAATTTACCGTGGTTCTACCAATTTACTTTGTGTTAATGTATGGATGTTTAATGGCACATTTTACTGGACAAGTATGTTTACAAATCTGAATCAATGGTTGATCCAAGTTTTTGAATTGAAATAATATGGAAATATTTGATAAAAATTGGGATAACAAAACTCTGAGCACTTTTGTTATTTGAATAAAATTAAAATAACTTTCATTTTAGAAGGAAATAATCCATTTATTTCTTTAAGTAAAGATTTTGTGTCTGGATCCACCAATGATGAGGGTATATTTAACAATATTTTCAATAGTTAAGACTTTAATTATTGCACTGATTACATGAGATAAGTATAACAAATTTGCCGAAAATTTGCAAAGCACCAAATATTTTATTAGACAGGTTGTCACTGACTCATGCAATTCTTGAAATAAATCAACACCGATTTCAATTCAATAACATTTTTTCCATCATTGGAAAGGTGGAAGAAAATAGTTATAATCATTAGAACGGTAACATAACCATCAGAGCACGGGTAAATGATAACTTGTGATTTCAGTAAAATCCAGAAAATAAAGAAAAGTGTGGTGTTCAATTCCTTAGCCACCTGTAGTGGCGTATGGAATAATGCTTATACCAAGCAAGATGAGGAATCAATAAATGTTCAGTTGACACCGGTCTGGCATATTTGTTTCAACAATTTGTCCATTTTGCAGTTGTTCTCTTTCTGCCTTCGGTAAGGCCTACTTAGGACGTCCTGGTATGTCCCGCTCTCATCATCAGCCTAGCTCCGCCCCTCAGGTTGATGTACTTCATACATATTTAACTGGTGAATTTGGGTCTCAAAGCGAATGAGCATAATAACCCTTCTATGAGCAGTATAAGCAGATAAAATGGATTGTAAGTGACTTCCAATAGCCATTAGTCTCCGCATGCTCCCCAGCGCATTCTTCCAAGCATATATTAAATTCTTATGGCGTATTTACGATGGTATCTTGAAGATGTCACGTAACCCTTGAAGAAAACATTCAAAAGGTGGAACTACTGATATAGAGGTAATATTTAAAAAAAAAAAAGCCGAGACCAGTTTCAGGAATTTAAGCTCAATTCAATGGGAAAAATAAGATTGATGAAAATATACAAATCACAGTGACCAAGGCTTCAAACAAACTTTGATTGATAACCCTTGGGGGAACCCGTGTGCGAACGTTTTCCGAGGGTGGTAAAGGATATCATTAACATTTCTGCTTCTTATTGGTTGGGACTTGTCTAGCACATACTGAATTATTCATGACATACGTGCGCTCTTACATGGCTTTGCGATCGAGGATAGACACACAAAGGGAGAACAAAAGATCATTTCAGTCCTCGAGTACTTAGTCTATGGGAGAGTGTTATATTACAGGGACAAAGGGAATTACAAAGCATTGTGATCAGATGGCCCATTGAAAATCATCTGTTAGGTGACATGGCGAACATCTGTAAATAAAGCTTATTATTATTATTATTATTATTGTCCTTGAGAGTATAGAAATTCGCGACTGTGTGTGCACACTACACACACTGTAAATATAGAGTGGGTACCGTGGGGATACGCTCAAGAGCCATACATGATTTATAGGGAGATATTCAGATTATTTTATCCCCACCTTTTCGAAATTTATTGGAAAAGAGGTGAGCTACTGTTTCTTTGCTTAGAAATGGTTTTGTAAATTAAATACAAAATAAAGACAGCGGAGCAGAGTTAACACGACTTTGGTACTTTAAAGGTACCAAACATCCACGGGATCTTTCTTGAAAAGCTATCATAGCTGAGAAAATTCTAATATGCAAAATGAAGTTTTAGCCTAGCATAATTCCTTTCAACACCCATCACGATACAACTTTTCTTGAAAAGTGCGTGACAATAAAATACAATAGTCATACAATAGACAATGGGTTATAGAACACATAACTTCTGTCATTTTATATCAATAATTTAGTGATCATCTTTTCACATTCACATTGTGCCATTGGTAAATTGAAATATCATTATTTTCAAAATCATTGTCTAAGCTTATCAGACTGAACACATATTTTTGGGAATTCCTTTTGAGATACCACTTCAATACTCATGAATATGAATATCATGACCCTGCCAATATTGGCCAATCAGACTCAAGTTTACAAGCTCGTGCTCCCAACACACAACACTGACCAATTACAATCGTTCCTCTTGGCTTCAGGACTGGTACCTTCAAAACAATTCAAAGTATTAATCGTTTTGGGTTTTATAGATTTCATGTTTGTTTAACGTGACTTCCGGTTTGAGACGTCATCAGTTAAAAATTCGCAAAATGAAAATTCAGTTAGTTTAGACAGGACTCATCACATTCAAAAATGACTTGGGCAGTTCACTATAGTATGGCATTCACCTAAATCAACTAAACGACTGCAGCGACTACAAGATATCAGTGCCAGACTAATCTCTATCACTAGTAAACATTCTCAGATCACTCCTGTATTAGCAGATCTCCACTGACTTCCAGTATTACACAGAATCAAATACAAACTTGGCCTATTCGTTTACAAAATTCTCCACAACAATGCCCCGAAGTATCTCATCGAGCTCATCCACCCGTACTCAACAGCACGCACCGGACTTCGCTCCAATGAGCTCATAATGCTTCACGAGCCCAGGACCTCCACTCTCTGGGGTGCCAGATCCTTTATTGCAGCGTCAGCCAGAGTGTGGAACCAACTCCCTCTGGCTATCAAATCATCTCCATCCATCACAACGTTTAAGACAAACATAAAATCTCACCTGTACAACCAAGCTTACTCTCACAACACACAATCCTAACTCGACTTTCTCCTCAAGCGCCATGAGCACCTTTTTAGGCGGATACTAGCGCTTTACAAATGTTATTTTGTTTATTATTATCAGAATGAAAAATCTTTTAAAAATATATAAATGACACAAATGTATGGATTGATAACACATTACTTACGTTTGATGACGTCACAGCAACAGTGTAGCTGACAAAAAAATATTCGTGCCATTATGATGCCACGAACATCTTTACTGGATACGAACTAATCAAATGATGAATTTGATTTGAAAAAAAAAACACAGAAAATTGATCACTTTCTGATTCTCCTTATATTAACGTCCGGTTTGATGACGTCAGGATGAAGTCTTGAAACTTCGCAAAGTCATTTGCGTTTGTCCAAAGCATATCTAGGAGCAATTTAGTAAAAACTAAATTTGCAAATGGTTTTGAAATTTTAAAAAGTTCTATGACGTGCCGCTAGGGGCCCCTTTCAAGTGCTGACGTCACCTTTTTTGTATTTGGCATCTCTACTAACATTTCCACAATTTGTTTGATTGTAAGTTAGATTCCTGTCTATTCCTGCATTAATTGTACGTCTGATATTCCCGCATGCTGGTCAGTTCCTGTCAAGTAAGAGACCAGAATGCGCTGATCTCGAGCTGCTGCAAAATAATAATGGTCTAATGGCCTGATGAACAGGGGTAATAATTGCTTGGCGCTTTGAGACCTTTGGTATAAAGCGCTATATTATCACCTCATTACTATTATAACGGCTTTGTGGTGTCTCTACCACCTGACACAAAAATGCGAAAGTAGTTAGAAAGAAATGAGCAGCAAAATCATTGACGCACGATCTACCTGGTTTGATACACACTGTTTTACCATCAGAAACATGAAATAGCATGATAATTAAAAATGGTGTCTTAATTTTTTTCACCCCTTAGTTTTAGATGTCTGTATGACGATTACTGGAATTAAAGTTAAAGACTAAAACCTTACATGAAAATTCAAGCCTAAGATATCTCAAATTTAAATATCTCATATGTGGTTGATCAGCAGGATTCCATCAAATATAGAGCAAGGCGAGGGAAACTGCCGCTGGTAACAAAGGACGCCTTGGGGACGACATGTGAATCAACTCCTGTCAATTACCATTAAGTGAACTGCACCGTATTGTGCAGAATGCAATTAACGTCTCGGAGGTTTATTGAATTGTATTTTGTAACCAGTTCTAGAGAGCAGGCAATAATTGGAATACTAGAACGCAATATTAATTCTGAGGCCATACCTTACGTTTGGAGATGAGGGAATCAATTTAAGGCTTACACATGTGACTTGAAGCGTCCAATCAGCTTTCTCCGCGTAGGCCTACATGTCAAGAACTTGTGACAGTGATATTATTTATATTTTGCTAAGCATCGGTTCTCGGGTTTGGGGACATATTACTCCAACACTGCTACAGGTTAAAAGGTTCTTGGTGGTTGATGCTGCATACGATACGATTCTACTTACATTCTAACAAATCTCTCAGCAGTTTGTAAACTTGACACTGGATGCAGCATGCAGCACAGCATTTCCTTAAATTGAGCAAAACATATATGATAAAATATAGAAGTGCCAATATGGAAAATAGACAAAATCTCCACTTCTCTATCATCAAGATAATTAAACTCAGACTGGCGATTGTCTCAGTGCTTGTGCTAACTGTTGAAGGTTTGTACGGAGAACACTGTAGTAACCTCAAGAAAATTTTCATTGCTGCAGACAATCGTGCACTTCAGACTTCTACATTTAGAGAGAAACATGTCAAGTCTGCTGTCCGCTGTGTTAGCTACTGTCATGCTGATGACAACTGCCGATCTGTGAATTATCATAAAACAGATCAACTTTGTCAAATGAACAATTTGACAAGGATGCAATATCCTGCTGATTTCATTACACACTACGGCAGTGTGTACTTTGATGATGATGTAGACACATCTCTCTTCTCTGTGCCTCAGTTCAGAGGTTGTGATGAGGTCCTTCAAGCTGGTCATAATGTGGGTGGTATCTACACGATATTTCCAGCTGGATTCAATAATGGGCTACAGGTCTACTGTGACATGGAGACTGATGGAGGGGGATGGATCGTCATTCAGAGGCGTCAAGATGGCAGCGTTGACTTCTACCGCAACTGGACTGACTACCAGGTTGGCTTTGGCAGCTTGTCTGGTGAGTTCTGGCTTGGAAATGACAACCTACGCAGCCTGACTGAGACTGAAGGTAAGTGGCAACTACGAATTGACTTAGAGGACTGGGAGAATAACACGACCTGGGCTGAATATGACGACTTTCAGATTCATGGAGATAACTACAAACTCCAAGTCAACTCATACAATACCCACAGCACTGCAGGAGACTCACTCACATACCACGATGGAATGATGTTTTCATCTAAAGACAAAGACAATGACATCTATAGAAATTCCTGTGCCAAAATGCGCAGTGGTGCATGGTGGTATAAAAGTTGTTATCGTTCTAATTTGAATGGAAGATTTGGGCAAGGAACTGCTTGGAATGGTATAGTATGGAAGTCTTGGAGAGGCCCGGGTTATAAACTCAGAAGCTGTTCTTTGAAAATAAAACTTTTGATAAACCCAGACAATTAATTGTTCGGTATCAATGAATTGGATTGTGCAAAATTTCATCAATATTTCTTTAGGGTGGGGGTGGAGTGGGCAGAAATGTTATTAGGTACGTTTAATGAATATAATTTTTTGTTTTTTAGGTCGATCCTCAGGATAAACATGACAACAAAAATGTGACAGTTTCGTTCCATAAAATGCAATGTGGAACTGTGTATTATAAAATGAGCAAACGTTAATCTAGTTTTAGTACGGATTTACAAAACAGTGAGAAAGCATAATTAAAATAACAACCACGATATCACACTCGGGCTACTACATGTAAGTAGGTATTGGTAACAATTTAATGCTGTGCCTCATGGTATAAGTTGTGCTTTGTTGATAAAAGGTTACGTAGCTGTGTTGGAAAATACATGGTACCGTGTTATTTAAAACAACTAATGTACATTGCTGTGGTGGTGAAATAATTGATACTATGTTGGCACAATTAGTGTCCGTATGTTGTAGTTCGCGCTTGTGTCCATTCAACACGAGCACGGGGTTTGAAAACGCCCATAATGTAGGTACAGCTATGTTGGATGAAATAACCGGTACACATTCTATTGGTAAATTTTGAGAACACAGCTGTACTAAATTAAATTATTGATACAGTATGTTTTATGTATGTACCCCTGTTGGAATTGAGAAAAAAAGTACAAGAAATGACATTTTGATGACCTACTCAAAAATAACGAAACCTTATGGGGAACATCACTAAAATCTCAAAGGTTGTTTTATGACAATCTAACAATTCGAAAAACAGGAAAATTGATTTGTGCTCGAAATAAAGGATCTGAATTTGTTTAATTATTTAGTTTCCGCCAACATTTCTTTGAAAGGAGGAGGGACAGGGATACTAATTGATAATGCAGCACTTGTAGAAGCATATTATTGGGTTTTGAAAATAAAGCGTGGCGACTATCAGATGAAAATGAAATGCAGTGTTGCAAGTTTCATTAAGACAGAATACTCCAAGAATGTGTTTGTCGTTTTTCTACAGTCATTTAATGTATATCTACAAGCACAGTAGGATAGCATTTATAAAATATTGACAAAACACACAAAATTCAGACAAATGGATGAACCGTTGGTAAAATTAGTATTTGCAGCTATACTGGCTAAATTCATTTGTACTTTGTTGGTAAAATCAGTGTGTAGGGCTTTGTTGCACAAAGGTATTGTCTTTGTAAATATATTGTATGTAGCTGTGTTGAGTAAAAAAAAAATTGGTATAATGGTGCAAATGAAGCGTATCGCTATTGAAGCAAAATGTTCACATTAATGATGGTACAATAAGTCCATACAGATGTTTTGGATGTATTTGTGGTATTGTTTTTGAAAAAGTATTTTCTAACATTTTGGTTGTAATAATTTATGTTGTTGGAATAATGCATGTTGGTTTAATAGAGGAATATCCATGGAAATGATTGACCGTAAATATCATAAAGAATGACATTTAATCTACCCAGAGTTGTAATGAGTCACTTATTTTTGTGACTCGAGTCGAGTCGAGTCATTTTAAAGAAGTGATTCGAGTCGAGTCGAGTCATAGGTGAAGAAGGTCGAGTCGAGTCGAGTCGCGTCGAGTCACAGAGTGTAGTCGAGTCGAGTCGAGTCGAGTTACGTATTTAGCTCGAGTCAATTCGAGTCACAAATATTTGAACACTATACAATAAATACACAGAGGAAAGTTATTTTTCTGCTTTTTTAAATTTTACATTCAGGCTACTTCATGTGGCGACACCACATTTGACTATTTATGAAAATAAAAAGGGGGTGCCAGCTGATCGTCATTCAACTAATGGGGAAACTGATCAAACCACGTATGTATATATGTATACATTATTCGCAAACATTCTAAAGTGACGTGAACAAAAATCGGCACAAAGTCATTGCAAATATTTTTCGCTTTTGCTTTTGCTTTTTTTTTGGGGGGGGGGACTCGAGTCTTATTAGCCTTCTTAAAGTCGAGTCGAGTCATTCTGATGAGTGACTCGAATCGAGTCGAGTCATTTGCTCGAAGTGACTCGAGTCGAGTTGATTCATTTGCCCTTAGGGACTCCAGTCGAGTCAAGTCACCAAAAAATGTGACTCGAGTCGGACCTGAGTCGAGTCATTAACTCGATTCATTACAACTCTGAACATACCCCATTGTGCCAATTTAACAAATTACACTGGGAACTACGTGACTACTGTCTCATTGGCCTATTATTTCATATTATGTCTTCAAACTGATGAAAACAGGCCGCGGAATAGGTACGTAACGCACTCAATGCTATTGCTATTAATATTAAATATTAAATTTGATCCAGTCAAGTGCACCACTTTTGCAAGGACATGCAATTGAGCAGAGCACTTAGCATACAATATTTATTGAATGAGTCGAGTTGGAAACCTGCCTTTCACTGGGTCGTGTTACAATGTTTGAAGTAAGAGCCTTAAACATGTGACCAGAAACAACCAATCACTCCTTTCCGCGTCCATCGGCGATACTGCTGTCTCTGCTTGTCACTTCAGAAAATTTAGCAATTTTACCACACTCTACCATTTGACATCTTACACTGATATCGACAAAACATTTTTGTCTCGGAAATTGACAAACAACAATTCTGAGCATGTTCGTCTACCCCGAGATGTATTAAGTCTTGTTAAAGTGTCAGAAAGCCAAATGGTTCAAATTTTCTAATCTGATCGAAATCATATCGATATGGAAAAGCCATGTCGTTCGTGTCTAAATGGCCCTAGCAACAAGATTCTAATGATCGTGGTGATCTTCACTTTTCTCGTTCATGTGGATGCTTTCCAACGGGATCGCTGTGGCAACGTGAAACAAACATTTTTTTCAGCAGACAATCGTGCACTTCAGACTTCTACATTTAGACAGCAACAGGTCGAGTCTGCTGTCCGCTGTGTTAGCTACTGTCATGCTGATAACAACTGCCGATCTGTGAATTACCATAAAACAGATCAACTTTGTCAAATGAACAATCTGACAAGGATGCAATATCCTGCTGATTTCATTACACACTACGGCAGTGTGTACTTTGATGATGATGTAGACACATCTCTCTTCTCGGTGCCTCTGTTCAGAGGTTGTGATGAGGTCCTTCAAGCTGATCATAATGTTAGTGGTATCTACACCATATTCCCAGCTGGATTCAATGATGGGCTGCAGGTCTACTGTGACATGGAGACTGATGGAGGGGGGTGGATCGTCATTCAGAGGCGTCTAGATGGCAGCGTCGACTTCTACCGCAACTGGGCTGACTACCAGGTTGGCTTTGGCAGCTTGTCTGGTGAGTTCTGGCTTGGGAATGACAACCTACGCAGCCTGACTGAGACTGAAGGTAAGTGGCGACTACGAATTGACTTAGAGGACTGGGAGAATAACACGGCCTGGGCTGAATATGATGACTTTCAGATTCATGGAGATAACTACGTACTCCAAGTCAACTCGTACAATACAAACAGCACTGCAGGAGACTCACTCATCAGACCACACAATGGAATGATGTTTTCATCTAAAGACAAAGACAATGACAACCATGATGATGAATCCTGTGCCATATTGCGTAAAGGTGCGTGGTGGTATAAAAAATGTTACCGATCTAATTTGAATGGAAGATTTGGGCAAGGAACTGGTAGGGATGGTATAGTATGGGTATCTTGGAGAAAGAATTACTATAATCTCAAAAGCTGTTCTTTGAAAATTAAACATAAAGAACAACACTGAGACTGTTGCTCAAAGTCAAGGAATTGGATTTAACTACTCAAAACGTTTTCCTCTAGATTTTTCTTGGGAAATATGAAGAATGATATTTGGTGTTTATATGGTGGCTTTCGGATTCTTTTGATATGAAGCAAATTTTGGTGATTTCTTAAAGGAAAAGGGCCAGGATTCCATTTTAAGAAAGAAAATTACACGAAAATACCAGCAAGAAAATGGCATAAAAAAGATGGCAGGTTTCGTTATATATAATTGGATCTGGTTTATAAAATAGTATTTCAAATATCATTCTAACATCTAGGAAAACATAAATATAATAATGACAAATAAGAATGATGTGTTTGACAAACACAAAAGCCTTGCTGAGCCTATTTTAAATCTTTTGGCTAATCTACACAACTTGATTTGGCAACTCAGGTTTATGAGTTTATGATCAATAATTAATATATATTAATTTAACCATCATGATCTTGACTTTTGACCTTAAGGTCCGTAATCAATGGGCAACTTCGGACCCTAAGACCAACCCACGTACCGTGACAAAATTTGAAGTTGATATGCCAAGGAAATGTAGACAGATTCTGCTAAAACTTTTCTGTTTGACCATAATGACCCTGAACTTTAACCTATAGGTAAAAAACAATAAACTTATAGTGCACTACAAGACCAACCCACATACTAAGTCAAATTTAACAATAGACCATGTGACATGTGACGTCATACCAACAGGCAACCAAAGGGCAACCGACTGGTAACCCAAACATTTGCTCACATTAAACGGTTGATGACACCACTTTTACACCAATCACATTTCAAAAGATCCAAATTCAGCGCAGAACAGAACAGTTTGCTGAAAGTCAAATCAAATCAAATCAAATCAAATCAATTCGACATTTATTTTCACATCGCCATCCTCAGTGGCAATTTATATACGTATAAAGAAATATCTATATACAAAACCGTATTAGCAGAACATGTGTAATATGTTCATATCAACATATCACATATAGGGATCGCATGAATGAGCTGGGGGAAAAATGAGAATAGATAATTAACAATTGGAGGGAGTATGTTATGAGAATCCGGTTCGTTAGTGTAACGTCATCTCAATTCAACCACACGGTGTAGCATATCACAAATGGAACCGGAAGTTAGCGCAGCTTCAGCGTTTAGGGGCGCTAGTAATCAGTGGTGCGTGTGCGTGTATGACGTTTTACAACGAACCGGATATTGAATATGGCAAGTCGGTAGCGGTGGCGATCAAGTTTTAGAATATCGAGTTTGGCCAATAAAGGAGTGGTATGATTAAGGTAACTTGCATTATTAACAATACGAAAAGCTTTTTCTGCAACGTAAACAGTTTGTTGATACCATGCACGTGGGGATACGTGGCCACAACATCTGTTTTGTAAACAAATGCAACATGGTCTTTACCAATAACACTTAAGGAGATTCACTCAAGTTAATACCATGATAGGATTATGTTTTTCACAAAAGACAAAGACATGTTATAAATCAAATATAAATGAAGGAATGAGAAAGGGTAAAGTATCATATTGCATGGCTCACTGGTAGTACATGCGTTTGTAAAAAGTACATCTATGATATATTGCTATTCATTGGTACCGTGCTTGGAAAACTAGTGCAAAAATAATGAGATATAAAAAGGGTTAATAATTTAAAATGTTGGATTGTTAAGTGTGTTTCTTCGGGTTCTATTTGATCAAGGATTGGTCCAGGTTTGTAGAAGCGAAATGCGGAAAACTATGGGAAATATTTATTTCCTCTTCGTAAATTTCAGTTGAAATTGTATGTACTATACGAACTCGCTTGCAAGTGTGTAAGAAGTTACATAATGCGTAATGGGTAAAAGTTTTCTTGGCAGTTGTGTAAAAGTTTACTTGCTGTATGTGTCAATATATTTACACATTTATTATTTAAAAGACAATTAGTAAACTTTACATAACTTTCAAGTGAAAAAATACTATAAAGCACGACCTGTTTCATTTTAACTGTGCAGCATATCACAGCATATAGCTATAAGTTGGAGAAACGAATACGATGACGTCTGTGACAACAGCTACTTTCGGTCTTTGAAGGTAACATTTTCCTCAAGCTCTTTGTGATTGTCATACCCGTCCCCAATCCATAGCAGTTCTTTGACACTTTGCAAGATAAGATACAACAAAAACCCATGGCCCACAGCTCGGCCGTGGCGAGTATGCACGCATGAATGTATACGTGTACATAGGCGAATACAGGTCAACTCGTACGCGAAGCAACTCGTACGCGACCAACTCGTACACAGCATAACTCGTACGTGGACAAATTCATACGCGGTCTAACTCGTACACAGAATTAAACTCGTATACAAATTATATGCGGTCGACGATTCTTGACTTTTTACTGGGAACGGTGTATCGTTCAATTTCTTTAAATTGGCTAACTTTGGCCTGCATACGAGTTGGCTGGCGTACGAGTTGGCCCGCGTACGACATGTACTATGTACGAGTTGTCTCGCTACGAGTTGGTTCACGTACGAGTTGTATAATACGCGCAGTGGCCTAGTTAAACACTACTAATTTAAGAATATCCTCGGGTTTTTATCGTCCAAAGTGTCCAGGCATTTCTGGGGCTTGGGGACGGTAAAACAATCACAAGAGCTTTAGATAATGTTACCTTGAAAGACCGAAATTAGCTGCTGCACATCCCCTCGTTGTTACAGACGTCACGGTGTACTCTATTTTCACTTAATGCTGTGCTGTGCAAACTGCATCGCGTAACCGCGTGTACGTTTTTACCTTGTTTTTAGTAAGTTTTACCTAATTGCAGTACGTTTTTACATAATTGAGGTAAACTGACTGCTTTACTACTTCAATATGTATTTTTCAATTTACATGTTATCGAGGTACTTTTTTCCCGGCGAATTTTACCGAAATTGTGAATTGTTTACATAACAATTTTTACCTAATTATTTGTACATATCTTTTTGAGGGTGTACGACTTTCTGTGCCAGACAAAGTAGCGGGGCATGGTGGTATAGGAATTGTTATGTCTCAAATTTAAATGGACGATTTTGGCGAGGGAACTTTAAGGATCACATAGTATGGCGGGGTTGGAAAAGCAATGACTATAACCTCAAAATCTGTTCAATGAAAATTAAACCTATTTAAAAAACAAAAAACAAATAGCGATGGTGGTTGTAACTGAACAGCCACAATGCTGTTCGGTAAATGTTTTTGGACGGTACAAAATTAGTTTATGGTTTATCCAGAAACAGTGAAATACATGTATGATAAGTAGAGTCTAAAATGATACTTCTGGTAACACCGGTAGTAAGGCCAGGCCACATGAACTTGACCTTCCCACGGACATTTGTTCAGTTCAGTATAACGCAATTTGCAAAACCAACTGGAATCTACCTTATGCCATTGTGGAGATATGGTGGCCGCAAAATTGCCTCATTAAATATTCATGACGTCATAGCATGACAACAATATAATGCACAATAATAACAATGCAAAATCATTATCTTCGCATTTTGCTTCATAATAATACGATTGTTTATTTGTGAGATATGGTAATAAGGTTTAAAATTAACACTTCCGGTTAAAGCAGAAGGGTCACATAACCTTGACATAAGACGTTGTTTTGTAGAGACTTGTTTAAATTTTATTGAGAAGGTACCCTCAGAAATGTGTTGCTCACTTTCTCCGTTCCAGGAATGATATGAATTGATAAAAACGTAATGTCCATAACTTGTTAATCTAATTATTGCAATCAAAATGTCATCATCAATTATTTTAGGTTGTTCTATTTTACCGAAGACAAATGTTGCATATATGTCTGTAAGTAATTATCATGGCCGAAGTAAGAAAAACAACGTTTTTAATTTCATTTTTCCTCTTTAAACTTACTCCCATGATTCTTCTTTTAAGCATTTTGCAGTTAAGTTTTAATGTCTAGAAGTTGTGTGTGTATTGAAGCTAACCAAATGTGGATTCATTGCATTATTAAATTGTGTAAGCATGAAGTGTTATACCAGAAACTGTAGATACTTGTTAATAAATTTAAGATCAAGGATTGATCCAGGTTCTTGAGAGGAAATGCAGGGGGAAATGCAAATTTGGGTTTTTTTGTATAATAATTTTAAAAGTGCCTTTTTTATTTCAATCAATGGAAAACATGTTACATTTAGCGGATCATAATATCGACAATGAGTCGGTATATAAGATTAATTAGATATGAAAGAGATGTATAATTACATATTTTTAATGCACCGAGGTTATTTAATTGGACAATAGTTTGGACAGCACGAATAAATTATATCGAAATCTGTTCTATGAGAAACTTGTCATTTTAAATGGTAACAAAATATCATTGATAAGCTTAATCTTATGGAAGATGTTTAAACAAATGCACATCTGCTGTACGTGGAACTACCATACCACAGTCAAAAAAACTGAAATAAGTTATTTGTTATATGTTGTTAACATGTGTATTTTTGAGTTGCTCTAAAAACATCTTTATCAAAATATTGATTGGTTTTCTTAGTAATTAAAAATTGAGTAGGACTTTAGTAAAACATGCACAGTTTCATGCATTGACTAGAAAAATTGGGTTTTTTTTACTCATTGCAATTTCAGTTATTTGCATAACTATTTTTTCCAAGTCAATAATACTGACTGGAAAAATCTACGCAGATTGACAGATTTTCAGTTGCACCCAGCTGACCTGAATGGCTAGTCAAATTTAACTGGTTGCTAGTCAAATCTGACTACTGCATTTTTAGTAGTGTCGCACAAGCGTTTTGTACTATGCTGTAAAAATTAGTGAGGCAATCTATTTAGG